AGTTGGGCATGAGGTTTATACTAGTTGTGTAGTTTGACTACAGGGAAATTATAACAGAATATTGCTTCAACTTTTGCTGATAAGTACGTTAATGATCGGTTTTGTGTGCAAAAATTAAAAATTTTGAGTTAATTTGCTTTCGAAAATCGTGTGCGATATTTTATTCATTTTCATTTACCACATACATACATACATACATCGATGTATATAGATGTACAGAGGCCCGGATTATTGCAGAGAAAATTAGTTGTATGAAAATTCTTAATGTCCAAAAATGTTTTATCAAAATTTTTTGATAGAATCATAAATAACGTTATTATCCGTACACCATGCCTGACATTTTTCAGTTTTTCTGGCTTTGAAAAAAACGTTATAAAAACTGCCCATCTGCAGTTTTACATATCGTCGTTTAAAGTACAAAACCGCGTATCGTCATTCAAAACAGCATAACTGACATTGGCTGCCAAAAATTGGATTTGCTCACACAAACTCTTGGTTTAATCCTTATTCATTCGTACTGAAATATATTAGCCAGAACTGCGAATGCTTTATAAAAAAGAAAACCATTTTGAAATATGAATGTTTTTACTCTCTGGAAAATAATTTATGCCACCTCACATACGCGGTTTTGCATTATCTTGATACGCGGTTTTGCATTTTGTTGGCGCGCGGTTTTGTACTTTAAACGACGATATGTTTCAGGTCGTAGACACCCCTTTAGGTAGGTCGAAATTTTTTATTAAATTTGGTTCCTCTGAATTTTCTCTTTTGCTTTCGCATTTAATGAGTTAAAAAAACTCGCCGTACAAATATTATACCTGGATAGGTATTCTATCGGAATCTGCAATAAAATTTAAATCCTTGCAAAAACCCTATGTTTAACACCTTACTAAATATATCCAACATAAGTTTTCGAAAACAAATTACATTTTTTTGAACCACGTCTTTATAGATAATTAAACAAAGATTACGATGGTATAATTATAAATCCCTAATTTACTGGTCGGCCCCTGTGGTGTAGTGGTAAGCAGTGCGCGTGGGTTCAAGCCCTGGTCAAAGCAATATCGCAAAAAATATAGAAAAAGGTTTTTACTTAACAGCGGTCGTCCCTCGGCAGGCAATGGCAAACCTACCTCCGAGTGTATTTCTGCCATGAAAAACAGCTTCTCATAAAAATACAATCGCCGTTCGGAGTCGGCGTAAAACTGTAGGTCCCTCCGCTTTGTGTGACAACATCAAGGCGCACGCCACAAATCGGAGGAGAAGCTCGGCCAAACACTAACATATGTGTAAGCGCCAATCTATTATTATTATTATTATTAATTTACTGGTCTTCACTATGCAAATCAACTTCAAAAAGTTTAACTGTTAATATCTAAGTTAGTTTTAGGACCAGCTTATATATAGAAACGCCTGTTAAGCCTGTTTAGCTTTTAAACGACGTAAAGAGGAAGTCTCTATGATGGGCAGAACTCGAGATATAACGATTTGAAGAAGTACATGATTTGTCAGAATCACGAAACCGAAAAAAAAATCCTCGAACTCGTTTTAGCTTATTTCATGTATAGAACTCATAAAAAATTTTGAAGCCAATCGAAAGTGTGACACCAAATTTGGTGTCCGATAATGAAAAACAATGTCTCATATATACAACGATATGACTCCGGCATGACTTAACTGTGTGTTGTCGAAAGGCGAGTCAACACGTACAAAAATGGCTGCCGAGTCAGACGCACCGTGTATGCCGCCTATTACTCGAGAGAAGTTTTGTTAAAAGTCCACAGATACATATCGATGGCTGAGTGGAAGATCGAGCTATCTCGGCAGCCAGTTCGAAAACGCCCTATCTCAAAAAACTTTTCAAAAACGCCCTACTTCAGAATTTGACTGAAAAACGCTCTATCTCCAAATTTTATTGAAAAACACCCTATTTCATAATTCCGTTCCTAAACGCCCTATCTCAAACGAAAATACATTGAAAATAAGCTGAGATAGGGCGTTTTTGAATCGGCAACTGGGATAGGGCGTTTTAGAAACGAATTCTGAAATAGGGCGTTTTTCAATTAAATTCTGAAGTAGGGCGTTCTTGAAAAGTTTTCTGAGATAGAGCGTTGTTGAAAATTTTTCTCAGATAGGGCGTTTTCGAGCTGGCTGCCGAGATAGGTCGATCTTCCACTTAGCCATCGATATGTACTTACATGTATTTTTTTGCAAGCTTTTATTAAAAATGTTCATCACGCGTAAGTTTCTAATCGATTTTAAACTAGCTCCTTACAAGTGCAAGAATTACGCTCATTAAATTACAGCATGTGCACATCGGGCTCATAACTTAACTTGTATAGACCAAGCAAAGCATCAGCCTTTGAAGAGAGTCGTCAGCACCACCAAATTTCTATTGCAGCCTGGTTGGCTTACCGAGGCTCCAATCAAGAATATTGAATACAAGATTGCGCCCAAAGAGAGGATTTTTGAGCGTATTATTTGCGATACGTTATTTTGGTGCAATTGCGAGAGAGAAATGTCAAAACGCGAAGGAAAAAATGTATGAATACAAAAATGTTTAGCACACCTTGAATATTAGTCTGATTGTCTATATTCTGCTTTACTCATAAAAAGGTAAATAAACTAATAAG